ATATATATTCTAGGAAGAAGGTAATATTAATAATAACGAGTAAATAATTAATCTTAATTAAAAATTATCATATAATAAATACTTATAATTAAGAAAATAAAATATAATTATATTTATATGGACCCACTGCATTCATTGAATAAAATGAGGCATCCATATGAGATGCCACTATTGAAAGGTTTAGATGTTGAGAAGGGTGCTCAATTGGCATTTTAAAAGTAGACTCCACACTTCAACATCTAGTGAGGTATGCTACCATTGTGGATGCCCTAATACTGATTTGTCGATTATGAGTCATAATTGGGACCTCAAATGTCCTCTATTCCATATGCTTCTATTAGTTTATTTACTAATACAAGCAATATCAAGCAAAACCAGCTCAAAAATAAGCCATTTCCCTCCTGCTGTCTTGCACATACCAATTCAAATACTCATTCAACATTGCAGCATTCATTTGCAGTTTTGCACACAAAAAATGGGATGCATATGGGAGAGGGAAATCTTACAGACGACTACTTGGTGGCAATTTGCAGTGCATATATAGCTACCGAACATACTCAGTACTCGTTTGGAAATAGTTACAATATTTTGAAAAGACTATCTAACACAGTAGTGCTCAGTTTTTAATGTTAATCTACAACATTCATGTTCAAAACGTCAACGAAAAACATTGTTTCCAAACAGACCATTAAGACACAAGTGACTATAGTCAACAACAAGCATGGAACAAATTTGCAGCCCTCATCAATCTTCTTAATCGTCATCGTCATCATCTTCATCTTCATCTTCATCTTCATCCTCTTCAAATTCTTCCTCATCTTCTTCATCATCTCCCAACTCCTCGTCTTCAACGATAAAACCACCAAGCGTCTCATCATCATCATCCTCGTGGGACACTTACGCACGGGTACTTTTGCGTTGGCCTGAAAACTTCTCTTTTCCAGTGCCCTTAGACCTAGTAGTAGTCATATACTTTGGCATTTCAGCTCTCCTAGATTTGGCCATTTCTTCCTTCTCATCACTCTCCACTCTCCACTCATCATCTTCACTTTTGTCGCTCTTCCTCCGCTTCCTCCCTCTTCTTCCCTCATCATCTCTCGATTCCTCGAGATCCCAATCCCAATTCTTAATGTCATGAATCATGTCCTTTGGATACCCATCAAATTCATGCCCCATTACCACCAATCCAAACTCTGCACAGTTTCAGATTTACAAATTTCCTGATCAGAAATACTAATATTATATCTAGTTATCTTCTGCAAGTAAAACTGGATTTAGCATGAATAATCAGACCATCAACTGAAAATCTTGCAGGTTTTAAGTATGGAAAAGAGGGTAACAAACCCTAGACCTTTGACGGGGTCAATATCAGAGAGATTAATGGAATCCAGTTCCAATTCTGCAAACCCTAGACGTCCATGGCTGCTTCCAAGGCTCTCAGCTAACTCGGACTCAACAAGCGGGTCGATTTTCCTGTCCTTTTCACCTTCGGCTTCGAAATCGGTTTTCTTCAGTGTGAACCAAACGGGGTTCTTCGCGGAAACGCAGAAACTGTCACCGATCTCCATTTCGCCTCTTTCGGAGCTCCGGTATGCCTTCACTCCGCCGCTCTTGCTGGTTTGGACCCAAACCGGGTTCTTCCCGACGACTTCGAAGCGAACCCGAGCGCCGTCGCGGTAATGCTCTGAGGACGAAGGGCAGGGGTGGAACAATATTTGGCGGCGTGACACAGTGCGGTCGTCGCCGCCGCCGCTGTAGAAACCGGCGCCTCTCCCGAAATGGGTGGTGGACCCGGGTACCAGTGGAGTTTTGGACCCATCGCCGCTTTCTAATTCCATATTTTCGTTTATAACTACCCGAGCATGGCGGCGTCCGGCATACTTACAGGCAGACAGCAATTTCTAGCCGGGCGTGTTGTGGACCAGTGGCCTTGTGTGAATGCATCCCTATACTTTCAACTAGCCTGGGCACACACTTTGTGTGAGAGTGCCCAAACAATTTGTGTAATGTAGTACAAATATTTGCTAGTCCCTTCGTTTCAGTGTATTTATCCAGTTTGAATTTTTCGAGTCAAACTGGACATAAAAATCGTAATGTATTTTAACATAAAAATGACTTTATTGGATTTATCGTATTGAGAACTTTCAAAAATGTATTTCATTATGCTAATATGCAATATAAACTCAGAGTAATGGGAGTTCAAAGTTTGTCTAGTTTGACTCGAAAAAGTCAAACTGGAAAAATACACTGGAACGGAGATAGTATATCATAGGTATAGTATTTCATCTAAAGGATAGGGATTGGTTTACAAAATTTGAAGTGATCACCTACACTTCATCCATGGCATGTGGCAAACCTATGACTTATAACATAGGGATTGTTTTACAAACATTGAAGTGATAACCTACACTTCATTTGTAATATGTACCAAATTTACATATGGATTCCTACTTCGTTTGAGATACATATATTTTACAAGTACAGTAGGAATACACATTTAAGTAAAAAAAGATTCTTAGTTCTAGAATCATAGGCTAACCTTTTTTTTTTGTGGATGTCTTCTTCAACCTCCAGCTTTCTCTTTAAAGGTGTTGTGCTTGTTTTCTTTTGAAAGAGGTTGTAGAGGCTTAGCAGTGAGTACATGTTTGATGTTTGTGTGTCAAAAGTGCTTGATGCTGGTTTGATGGCAGGAATGACCGTAACTCATTGAAGGGCCTTGTTCAGATGTAGAGAATTGATTGTCTCCAGCGGTGCATTCCATTCAAGTGTCTTCAATATTTTCTAGAGCTTGTTGGTGAAAAGGGTGACCTGCAGTGCATCTCTCTCGTTACTTATTTCAGCGCCTACCCTAAATCTGACAAGATTTGTAGAAAGAAAATGTTTATATAAGGAATGAAGTAGCTGTGAAGTTTGTACATCATCATCTTCTGCTACGAACCTAAAAGATGACTATTGAAGAAATGTGTATAGAACTTGATTTGTTGTGTGTATGAGGTGTGAAATGCTTGTATTTTCAATGTCTTCTGGGGTTACGAAAACAGATAAAGGATCTTGGAATTGTTTTGGTTTTCAAGGCATGCTGTATTTTGACAGGATTTGAACATTTCCTGAACAAATTTAATTGTTAATAAAAGTACTTTAAAAAAGTATTAAGATGTAAGAATTGTTAACAATCGTGAGATGCTGCAAGAGATATGCATAACAATCGTGACGTGTTGTTAATGACAGTCCTGTTTGTTTGTGTATGTAATAGAGAATGAGATGTGAATCGTAAAATGAGAAGGACTATATGTGTGCATAACAGAGGTCATGTTTACCTTGAAAGGAAGTTTCTAGTACCCTCTTTGCGAGTGTTGTTCGATAGGTACCTGATTCGAGTGCCTTTTCGATTTCACTGCCCTGAATGGTTGCAAATTTGTCCCACATTGTGAAAGTGATTGGTTTGCATCTGTATGAGCAGAACATTGTCAATGGCTCGGGGAAGCGTAATGTATGTAGGTAAAAGTTCAAGTTTGTAGGCATCTTTATATATTAAATTTAGGAGTTGAACTCACAGAATTTCGACACGTGACTTGATTACGTGGCACTAAATCTGACAACTCAACTACCACCTCTTTTTTGAATACTTATTGAGATGAAATCATGGGGATATAATTATGATTTTTGTCTTATTAATTTTTAATTTGAAAGGTAAGTTTACATATTAAAATAAATTTTAAAAAATATAAAAGTTTTTAAGTCGGTATTTTAACCAAATCATTAACTTACCTTTTATAAGTGACAAACTAGAATGCATGGCCATTAAATTCGAATATTTTTACTGACATTTTAATTCTCTATAATTAGCTTTAACATAATGTAAAGTGAAAATATTTAATTAACACGGTAAAACACGGTATACTTCCATTAGTTTAATTAAGAATAAAAATAATTTAAAAAAGTTATGATGACTTATCAGATGTAAAAAACATTAGGAAAGAAGAATGAAAACATATTTGTTGTGTCGTTTCATAGTGGCGCTTCTCATCATGTTGCAAGTGATCCGTCCTCGCTCAGCACTCTCATGGATTATGGCGGCCCGGATGAAGTTCGTTTGGGTAACGGTAAGAATTTAACAATTTCTCACATTGGTCGATCTACCCTACCTACTGTTACTCATACCTTACTCTATCTAATGTTTTGTGTGTGCCAAAACTCCAGAATAATCTTTTGTCTGTGTCTCAATTATGTCACACTAATCAAGTTTTGGTTGAATTTTTCTCTAATTCCTTTTTTGTGAAGGACCTGCGTACGGGGAAACCTCTACTTCGGGGGCTCACCAGAAATAATCTTTACACTATTTCCTCTCGGTTGGATGCACCAAGGGTCAACACTGTTTCAGTTGCTATTTCGTCCTTAGCCGATCTACATCATCGGTTAGGACACCCAAATAATAAAACTCTCGGTGCAATTGTTCGTCAATGTAGTGGTTTTTCCAAATTTCATGATTGTTCCAATTTTTATTGTTCTTCGTGTCATATCAATAAAAGTCACAAGTTGCCCTTTGCATTTAATACTTTGACTAGTAGTGCTCCTTTAGATCTACTCTATACTGATATTTGGAGTACGTCTCGATGTTCTCTCGATGGATATTATCACTATGTAATTTTTGTTGATCACTATACAAAATACATTTGGTGGTATCCACTCAAACGAAAGTCAGATGTGGTTTCTATTTTTCCTCAATATAAGAGACTTGTGGAAAATTATTTTCAGCGTTCCATTAAATGTGTTTTTTCCGATAATGGTGGTGAGTTTATTAAACTTATTCCTTTGTTTAATCAAAGTGGAATATCTCACTTTACAACTCCACCGCATACGCCTAAACATAATGGAACGGCTGAACGCCGACATCGTCATATTGTTGAAACAGGTCTATCTCTTCTTAATACTGCTGGTCTTCCTGTGTCCTTTTGGTCATATGCGTTTCATACGGCTGTCTATCTTATTAATCGTCTTCCCACCCCGGTATTATCTAATATTTCTCCCTACGCAGCCTTGTTTCAAAACACTCCAAATTATCAAAAATTTAAACCTTTTGGGTGTCTATGTTACCCTTGGCTGCGTCCTTATCATTCCACCAAACTCTCTCCAAGGTCTACTCCATGCCTTTTTCTTGGTTATGATTTAACTTCGGGCAAGATCTATATTTCCCGGCATGTGAAATTCTTACCTCATATTTTTCCGTATGCCTCAAAATCTCCCATGCCCAGTACTCCACTAAATGATGACACTCCTATGCCTTTTCTGCCTGCCACACATCACCCAAGACCCTCCCCTATTTCCCAAACCCATACACATTCTCCTGCCCCTATTTCCTTTGGTCATAATTCTCCACAAATCAATGTTCCCTCTCTCTCTCCTACTCCATCTCTCGATCAGCACCAGCCTACTGCCCATTTGAGTCCTACGCTAGTAGTGTCTGTACCCTCTCCTTCTCAACATGTGAGTTCCACAGTTTTTAATCCTCCGCTGTCCAACTCCTCTCCTTCCTTAGGTCGGCCAGTTCGTGAGTGAAAGTTAAATTCCCGTTATTTTAATGAGCATCTTGTTAACAATGTAGATTCTGTTACTCTTGTGGAGCCTTTGACTTATATGCATGCTAAGAAAGATGCGAAGTGGTGTTGCTATGGATGCTGAATACCAAGCACTTCAGCGCAATAATACGTGGGAACTTGTTCCGCACCCTTCTCAGCGCCCCATTCAATGCAAGTGGGTTTTTCGCATCAAACGCAAGCCAGATGGATAGGTTGATCGGTACAAAGCACGGTTGGTGGCTAAAGGTTTTCTTCAACAACCTGGTCGTGACTATTTTGAGACGTTTAGTCCGGTTACAAAACCGGTTACTATCCGTCTTATTCTTACACTTGCTCTTACTTATTCTTGGCCCCTTTGTCAATTGGATGTCAATAATGCTTTCTTAAATGGTACTTTGCATGAGGAGGTTTATATGGAGCAGCCATCTGGTTACAAGGATGCCAACCATCCTGACTATGTTTGTAAATTGTGCAAGGCACTTTATGGACTAAAGCAAGCACCTTGTGCTTGGTACTTGGAATTGGCTGCCTTTTTGGAGAGTTATGGTTTTCACAAGTCCAGGGTGGATGCCTCTCTCTTCATCTCCTCTTCTGGTCCTATTCATCTCTATTTTCTCGTCTATGTGGATGACATCATTGTTACGGGCACTCATCGTTCTACTCTGGATATGTTTGTTTCTAAACTCTCTAGCAGGTTCTCTCTTAAAGATCTTGGTCCCCTGCATCATTTTCTGGGAGTGGAGGTTATTCCGGTCTCCGGGGGTCTCTTTCTGTCTCAGCGCCGCTATATTCATAATATTCTGCAAGATCATAATATGGCTGATGCTAATCCCGTTAGTACACCTCTCTCCTCTTCGGCTTCCCTCCGGCTAGATGATGGTACTGCTGCAGCCGATCCTATTGCTTTCAGACGATTACTTGGCTCGCTACAATATTTGGCACTAACTCGTCCGGATGTTTGTTTTGCGGTGAACAAATTGTCTCAGTTCATGCATGCACCCACTCTCAGTCACTAGCAGGCGGCTAAGCGTGTTCTCCGTTATCTTTGTGGTACTCTCTCGCATGGCTTGTATCTTCGTGCAAATGTCCCGCTTCGACTTAGCGTGTTTTCTGATTCGGATTGGGGTGGTATTTATGATGGAGGGAGATCTACTACTGCTTATGTGGTTTATCTTGGTTCGAATCCTATTTCCTGGAAGTCTGCACGTTAAAAGACTGCCTCTCGATCTTCTACGGAAGCTGAATATCGTGCTCTTGCTCATGCTACCGCCGAGACGCTTTGGATCAAACACTTGCTGCGTGAACTTGGGATCTCCATTAAGTGTGCTCCCATTCTCTACTGTGATAACCTTGGTGCCACTTATGTATGTAAGAATCCGGTCTTCCATTCTCGCATGAAGCATTTGGCACTTGATTACTTCTTTGTACGTGACCTTGTGGCGGCTAATCACTTGCATGTTCAGCACATTCCTTCCTCAGAGCAGCCTGCAGATATTTTGACGAAACCTCTTGCTCTTCCTTTGTTCCACAGATTTCATTCCAAGATTGGTGTTTCTGACGGCACGCCAATCTTGCGGGGGCGTATTAAGGATAAATAATTATTGTTTATTCATATTGGTACTTATCCGTATATTTAACCATTAGCATTAGAATAAGTCTTTAGCTTGAGAATAGGAACGTGCAGTTGTGTGTAGCTATCCAATACCTTTGTTCTGTATAAATTCATGTACACTGGTTTATGGAATCAACTGAATGAAATATATCTCCTATATATTTTGCGTTTTATATATTTCTTCCGCATTTGCCAACACAGTTTTTATTAAACTCCAAAAAGTTTTCAAACGCCTTATTCACCCCTCTAAGGCGTGGGCACAACGACTAAACCGACTAACAAGTGTTAGCCCATGTATTTATGTCAATCCATGTATTTGTATTTGTATCATGGACTTAGATGAATAGGACCAATTGCACATGTATATTTACCCCCCTCGTTGTTTAATGAAACATCAATTCACGTTAAATCCCTTTCAATAGACCTGTAGACCTTTATATTTATAGAGCAAAAATAATAAATATTATACTCCTTCTGTCCACCATAGATCTTCTCTGACAATATTCACATGGTCAAACTTAATTCACTTTGTTTGTTTATTTTTACTATTCATTTCATAAAATAACAAAGTGTTATCACCTCTAGTTTTGTAGAATTTTTATGTAGTTTATTACTATATAAATTTTATATTGAAATTTTACCCCTATATTCAAATAAATTGAATTGAAAATAAAGTCGGTCAAGCCTCGTAACGCGCAATGGGAAGATTTTAGGTGGACGGAGGGAGTATGTGTTTGCATGAACAAATGAATCTATACAGTTATTACTCAATTATCAAAGGCATTCAAGACTTCAAACTTGATTATGAAAATCTTGAACAAATTTGAATAAACCTAATCATCGTTAAGTACTAAAATCGTTCTAGACTTCAGATTTGATTCAGAAAGTATTAAATATTTGAATAGTAAGATTAGTATTCAGATGCTAAACACCCTTTCATAACATCCACTAGAATTTGAAATAATATTTGAATACTAATTTAATATTGGTATTAGAACACTAACCAACTTTTTGCCACGAAAAGTTGTTGAAATCGAGTTTAGTATTCGAATACTAATTTTATAGTATTGAAATACTTCAGATTTTTCAAATGCCATTTGTAAATTGTTCATAAAATTTGATTAATTTTTAGAATAAATTTTCAAAATGGTACTAAATAACTACGGGTTTTTCCAAATTAGTCTCCTAGATGAACTAATTATTGAAATAATACTCATTAATTGATAATAATGCTTTGTTTAGTCCTCCAATTAACGGCCATCAAAATGGCATTAAAACTTGTACTAACCTCTCATAAAGGTCATCTCTAATTGGATGTTTTTTTCAAATTAGCCTAGATTTGAAATAAAAACTCATAAAAATGGTCTTCCAACTTTGCTCAAACATCGTAAACCAATTAAAAGGGAATACTTTTGCTTCGATTTTTTCGTATTTAATGATTTTTTTACTTCAAAAGTGGATTGATTTGAGAAAACATCCAATAAGAAAGGATAATTTTGAAAAAATAGTATAAAGTTTAACGTCGTTCTTACATTGTTTTGATGACCATTAGTCGTGGAGACTAAATTGAGCATTATTTTCAATTATCGAGTATCATCTCGATAATTAATTCATCTTGGAGACTAATTTTGAAAATAGGTAATTATTGAATACCATTTAAGAAATTTACTCTAATTTCTAATATTAATACTTCAGCTTAACTCATTGATTTCATTTTACGTCCGTCTCTCATCCTGAGAGTCTTCGTTCCTGTGCGGCTAGGGTTTCAGCAATTTTAGGACTCTCTGCTTGATCGATTTCACCATGGAAGGGAATCAGGCACAAATCGACATGGCTTCACTGTCCCTAGATGACGACGAACATGAGGGTTTGGTGTTCGCCGAACCCGAGGACAATGTGTGCGGTGTAACAACGGACTACGACAACTGCCTAGTCGGGAGATTCTTAACGGAGCGCCCAATAAATTTTACTGCAATGAAGAACACTATGGCGTCTCTTTGGCGGCCGGATGAAGGTATGGTTGTTAGAGATCTGGGCGATGGAATTTACGTCTTCTAATTCGGGGCAATGGCAGAGCTAGAGCGGGTCTTGGATATGTGCCCTTGGACTTTCAACAATCAAGCTCTCATACTGGATCGATTGAAGGGTTATAATGACCCTAGAGATGTCCCCCTGCATTTGATGTTTATTTGGGTTCAGGTCCATGGACTTAAGAGAGGCTTTTTCTCCGAACAGGTGGCTCAACGATTAGGCAACGAGATTGGAGAATTCATGGAATCAGACCCCAAGAACTACTCAAATCCCTGGGCGACTTATCTAAGGATACGAGTGGAATTGGATGTCCGTAAACCTCTGCGAAAAGGCACAAAGATGAAGCGAGAAGGGGAAGACTGGTTCCACGTTTCATTCGCTTATGAACGACTTCCAACTTTCTGTTTTGTTTGTGGCTGTCTTGGCCATGGGGAAAAATTTTGTCCCATTGTTTCGAGGAATTGGGGTAAAGATGTAGCCCGACAGTACGGTCCTGAGTTGCGTGCTCTGTCTAAACGATCCACAACTGGAATCGGTTCTAAATGGTTGCGAGATGAACTCCTTGCATTCAAGAAGGAAGCACCTGCATCTACTAATAATGCAAATGAGGCAGAACATCACAATTCAGATACACTCATGCAACAGATGCAACCTCAAGCTAATGGAATAGAGGGGCAAGCTACAGTGATGGGTGGATCAGTGCACCAGGAGTATGTCGTGATATCGGATCCCAAAAAGAGGAAGATTGATATGAAGGGCAATGGCGATAAAGAACTTTTGCTCTCAACTGTATCAGATTCAAAAAACGTGAAGGAGGCGGGACCTGCGATGCAGGCCCACCTAAAGCAATGAGTTGTATTAGTTGGAACTGTCGTGGGCTTGGCAACCCACGAGCCGTCCACACCCTACAAAATATTGTTAGGGATGTTAAGCCATGCTTTATTTTTCTCATTGAAACTTTATGTGATTCCAAGAGGATTGATGATATAAAAATTATTTTGGGTTATGATTCTTGTTTTTCAGTTGATGCAATTGGACATAGTGGGGGTTTATCTCTCTTTTGGAAGCCCCCTTTGCAAGTGTCTGTTTTATCTACTTCACGCTTCCATATTGATGTTATTATTTCAGATTCCACTTTGGGGAGCTGGAGATTCACGGGTTTCTATTGCCATCCTGATCAGTCCAGAAGAAGTGTGACTTGGGATTTGCTCCGTGACCTTGCTCAAGACTCTAACTTACCGTGGATATGTGGAGGCGATTTCAATGCCATTCTTGCCCAATCAGAGAAGAGAGGGGGGCAACCCAAACCCGAGTACCTGATGCAGGCATTTAGAAGTGCTATTTTTGATGCTGGTCTATCTGAACTCCCTATGTCTGGTTACAATTTTACTTACAATAATGAAAGAGAAGGAGTTGCGTTTGTGGAGGAAAAACTTGACCGTTTTTTGACTTCAGCTTCTTGGGGGCAGAAATTTCCCATGGCAAAGGCGTTTACATATGATTTCTCCTCGTCTGATCATCTTCCTACCTGCCTATAGCTAAAAGTTTGGATTCCAAGGCAACAATCACATCGCTTTCGCTTTGAGAACTCATGGGGAAAAGAACCAGCATGTAGGTCTTTGTTGTTGGATTGTTGGAATCTCTTTGAGACATACTGTTTGGAGGATAAACTCAAGTTGTGCGCAGAGAGGCTCAAGGTCTAGGGGGGCGGAATGGAGTGATACTTTCACAGCTGATATTAAACTCATGAGAATAAATATGAGTAGAACTAAAGGTCGGAGGGACCATCGAAGTCGCCTTATCTATCAGAGAGCCCGATGTAGACTTTTTGACCTCTTTGCTCAAAAGGAACAATTCTGGAAACAGCGTGCAAAAGTTTTTTGGTTAAGGAATGGAGATCGGAACACCCGGTTCTTTCACGCAAGGGCAACAGAACGTCTAAGAAAGAATAAAATTGATAAACTTAAAAATGAAGCCGGCGTTTGGTGCGAATGGGGCAGTGGTCTGGAGGAGAATATTCTATAGTATTATACCCGCCTGTTCACTTCACTACGCCAAAAACAAAAAACAGTGTCAGACGACTGTTGATTAACTACTGTTTATGGAAAAACAGTAGTTGAAAAAAATCAGACTACTGTTTGTTGTTGTTGGCTACAAAAGTAGTAGTCTAGCTATTATGCTTAAAACTATTTTTAAAGTTTTGAGAAACAATATTCTATTATTAGTTGTCTGTGTCATATCAAAATACAGTTTTTGTTATCACAGTTGTCAATAATAAGTTAAGAATACTCTTTTCAAACAGTAGTCTAGTTATTCCGTCTAGAACTGTTTTTAAAGTTATGAGAAACAATAATCTATTGATAGTTGTATATGTCATATAGTATTTTTGGCACTGTTGTTTATAATAAGAATACAATACTCTTTTTTAACAATAGTCTAGATACTTAGCCAACATCTGTTTTTAAAGTTCATAGAAAC